TGTGGCCCATGGGCCACAGGTTGCCGACTCCTGGTCTAGAGGTTCCCCATTTCTGAATGCTACATGTAAAAATGGTAGTGTCTTATACTGGTGGTTGCAAGCCTAGTCACAACCATTGCCTGGAAGAAGACTGGGGGAAAATTAGCTAAGACGATCTGCATTGAATACCGGTAGGTAAATATAGCAAGAGAGATCATTACCAAATGACTCAGCCTTCTCTCATGATCATTCTTGAATTTTTTAGCTTCTTAAATGCAAATATACTTTCAAAGTTCCTCATCATGTGTCCGCTTTTTAAAATTAGCTCAGTATTTTAACTGAGCAGTGATCTTGGTGAGTCTAAATTAAATTTCCATTCTCAGATTCCATGTTTAAGAGTCAGGCTAAAATATATTCAGATTGAGAGACTGGCACAAGGTTGAATTTCTAGAATGAAATTTCATTGAAAATATGGGACGTACCAATGATTATCTCCAGTGTGAGTGTGTGTGTGTGTTGAGTTGTGTGCCTTCATGTAATTTCCAACTTATGGCTACCCTAAAGTGAACCTATTACAGGGTTTTCTTGGCAAGTTTCTTTAGAAGGGGTTTGTCATTACCATCCTCTGAGGCTGAGAGACTGTGACTTACCCAAAGCCAATGGGTTTTCATGGCAAACATATATTGGTTAATTACTCTATTTGGAGTATAGCGCATAAACACATACTATATAGCATTTCCTTTAGTGAAAACATAAGTTGCTGTTTGATTCCCTGATTACTACTGATGTAGAACAGAATGCTCAAAAGATAGACCATTGTTTGTATGTCTTGTACAAAAGTGAGGGCAGACTTCCCCCCCCCCCTTAAACGACAGTGGTCAACAGCAATTGCTCTGCTAACTTGTTTCAGTTCATTGTATATGACTGAAAAATTACTTCTCTGTGCAAGCCCATTAAAGTGAATTGGAATTTCACTAGGGCACAATTGTAGTGCACTGAGGTCCATTTTAGCACATTTGTAGCTACAATAAGGGGAGGAATAACTAGGAAGAAAAGGAAACCTACTGCCTAGCCCCAAAGTTGTTGCTTCTACTTCTGATGTGCAGTCTTTTAAAATTTTAATGGATTCCGATAATTATATTCCTCCTCCTCCTCCTCCTCCTCCTGCTGTCTTACAAACATGTACAGTGTTTTACTAACATGCTAGGAGGCTAACAGCTCTCTTCTACATGTCCAGCCAGTTAATGTGGCTATCATACTCTGAAAGAGCTGGGGGTGGGGATCTACGAAGCAGGAAGGTGGAGAGCACAGAATTCAACCCCAGCCCCATATTTCTATGCAGATAGTGGGGAAAGATATGTTTCTTCCTTAGCAAGAGACACTGAGTTTTTCCATTCCTGAAACTAAGGGGTGGAATGATCCAGCTCTCTCCAGTAAGCTCTCTCACAGTCCTGTAAATAGAACTGAAAGCGAGGCATCTCCTGCTTTCAGATTTACAGTTTAAAAGATGCAACTCAAAAGGACAAGAGTATATAAAGAAGAGGCAATGCAAAAATTACTTATGTGTGGGCACGTAACCATTAGACTGAAATTCCTCTGATGCGATTCAAGCTTCATTCATTTTAATGGCTCACGTCCTGCTGTAATGGCCCACTTTAGTTGGTCTTGACCAGGTATGGGAAATATGGGGACCATGGTATGCATGTGTCCCCAGGGCCATTTGTGTTGGGGATGACGACTGGAAATTAAAGTTTGAT